ATTTTCTTTCTTGAAATAAAGTTAACCATGAGTTGACTGGCAAGAAAGTTAATTTGAGTGTAGCTGGGCCTTCTATATCCCTGGGTGGTGAAAATTGTTTGTGATCAACTACTAATCTAAATGCTGATGGTTTGAACCCACCCAGTGGCACTGTGGAAGAAAACACTGGTGATCTGTTATCATAAAGATTATACAGCCCAGAAAACTCTATGAAGTAGTTCTACTGTGTGACATAGGGGGATACCATGAATCTAAATTGACTTGATAGCAACCGGGTTGGTTTAGTTTTTTTTGGGGGAAATTCTAGGTGTTTTGTGCATCAGAGCACAAAAACTGTTCAGGGCAACAGTTTCAGCAAAAAGAATCTGCATATTTATACTCTAGTATCATAGAATTAATTTCAGAACCTTCATCCCAGGATATTATCTGCAGGTAGAGCCTTTCCTTGACCATTAATATACAAACAGTTACTCATTCTTAACTCTTTTCTTTAAGAAATATTTCTGATTATCCATTCTGTGCCCTACATTTGCAATATTGAGGAAAATAGACATATTTATTCTCTCATCAAGCTTAAAAGAGCCAGAAAAAAAGGGAAAATATGATTTGTGGTAAATTCTATAAATAAAAGAAATAGGATGTTAAGATAGACAATATATATCTGTTGGGGAAAGCAACACTACTATAAAAAATGTGATCAGTCTGACATGGGAACATCTTTACTGTACCTGACATGGAAACAAGAACTACATTGGTAGAGAGATGTGAGGAAGACTATGTACTTGGATCACCAACTGAGGATCTGTGAAAGGGGATCACAGAGAGGGAGTAAGGTTTGGGAGGTTCTACAGTTACAACAGTAGATTGGGAACTTCAAATGAACACATATTCTACTTGGAAGAGAAAATAAATAAGTTATATCATAGACAATGATGCTAGCTATTATTACTCTTGCACTTGATTATTTTCATTCATGCTGAGCTATTTTATATGCCATTTATTCATTTTGAAAATATTTTTAGAGTAGTGACTAAGAGCTAGAGTATGTTCTAGGCTTAGAGCATAATATTAAGTATAATCAGATATAGATCTCACCCTGGTGGGCTTATAATCCTTTAGGGGTGTGGAGTTAGATAATTACATAAGTACTATATTACAGACTAATTAAATAGGTAGGGGCTGATAGTTTCTGTTGAGTCATCTCAAACTCATGGTGATCTTATATGCAAAAGGACAAAATGTTGCCTGCTCCTGCATCATCCTTATGATTACTGACATGGTTTTGTCAGCCCAACGTGGCTATTATGTCCATCCATCTGACTAACGTTAGTTACACCCTCGTTTGCTCTCTAATTCACTAAGTGTGATGTCCTCCTCTAGCTATTGATCCTTCCTGATAACAAGTCCAAAGTAAATCAATCAGACAGTATTCTGTTTTGATCCGTAAGGTTTTCATTGACTAATTTTTGGAAGTAGATCATCATTAATTTCTTCCTAGTCTGTCTTAGTCTGGAAGGTCTACTCAAACCTGCCCACCATAGGTGACCCTGCTGGTATCTGAAACACTTGTGGCATAACTTCCAGCATCATGGTGACACATAACACACCTCGGTGTGATATACTGACAAAAGGGTACTGGACAAATAAACTGATTGAAAGAGTAGAAAATTATTATTTTATTTTGAGAAATATCTCTTATCTCTGAGAAAGTGGGTTTGAACCTAAGCTATGAAGGTAGAATGAATTTAAGTACAGAATGTACGTGTGTGTGTGTGTTTGTGTTTGTGTGTGTGTTAGGGTCATCGAGATAATCCAGAAGAACATCAGGTGCAGAGAGAATGGAACATCAGCAGTGGTGGTGGGGAGGCAAAGAATCAGGAGGTACAACATAAGTTCAGAAGAGGATCTAAGTCATACAGTGCCTTTTAGGAAGATGAAAAAACAAATTCACTGCCATTGAACTCATTCCAACTCATAGCAACCCATATTTTTTTCAAGGCTATACATCTTTACAGAAGCACACTGCTTCATCTTACTTCTGTGGAGTGACTGGTGGGTTTGAACCACCAAGCTTTTGGTTAGCAGCAAATGTCTTAACCATTGTACCACCTGAGCTCCTTTTAGGAAGACAGAAGATTATATGTATATGTATATATGTGTGTATATATACATATTAT